AGCCCCGCACCAGCAAGGACATGAGTGGCTGTACTGTATTAGTGCGATCGTAAAGGGATGTCTGACCGAGAAAAGAAGAAGGTGTTCCGATCGCTTAAGTACTCGTCCACTCAACAGCTCCATGACCCCACCGGCCCCTTTGGGGGGGTATCGTAGCGGCATCCGCGGCTGGGCGTGCGTCCCTTGGCGCACTGATGGGCCCACCAACGCCATGCGTCACAGGGATCCAAGAGCATGGTGCAACCCCCACACCGCACCCATGCCCCCCCCGCCCGCTGGAGCGTGCAGCCCGGCGGCCCCGCCGGCGCACCTGAGGGCAGGCAGCCCAAAAACAGCCGCGCGGGGGCGGCTGAATTCATGCCGCGCGCGTCCGAGCCAAGGGCCTGAGTTGGATGCCGATTTTCAGCCGGCTCGGGAGGCCCGGAGGGAAGGGCGCGGGCAGGCCGGTCGCATAGGAGGAAGGGCGGCGATCGAGGTGGGGATGGGCGGCGACCTGGGCTTGAAGCTGTAAAGCGAGGTTGGAGATGCGGGCTTGTGGGAGCGGTTAACTTGACGCTCGGTGTTTGGGTGGGGTGGAGTGGGATGGTGTGGGGTGGGGCAAGGGAGGGTTGGACTGTTGGGCGCCCACTAAAAAATGGCACGGAAAGATGGCGCATCGGGCGTTTTGGAGCGGAAGATGGGCGAGGGTGGGTGGGGCGGGGATGAGAGGGCTGGCCTGACGGGAAGCTGGGGGCTGATGGCGGGGGCGGGGCGGCGTGACTCGTTACGCGGCGAACGGTTTTCGCTGGAGGGTTTTGGGCGCTTGGCGGCCGCCACGGAGGACCGCTGGTCGAAGGGATGGCCGGAATAGCCGAACACCGCGCCTCAGAGTTGTTCTTTGCGGCCGGCGACGTCGCCACCACCTTGGTTTGAAACAACTCCGCCGGAGACTGGAACAGTCCAGCGGGCGCATATCGCGGAGAGGTGCCTGGCTGGACGCTGTGCTTGGCGCCCACTGCCCACTGCCCAGCACCCTCGCGCTGCCGCCGGCCGTCCCCTTGCTCGTGGCTCAGGCGAGCTGGCGCTGGGCATGGGCCTCAACGGTGTCCCCGTTTGGCGCAATCCTGAGCGATCGGGATCGAGATGGGCGGCTGGCGCCCAATGCTTGGTGCGGCGAGCACGTGGGACCCACGTGCACGTGTGCGGCGCGTGGGGTGCACGTGACTGCGAACGGCACTCATCGTCTGGCGCGAATGGCGGCCAAAACGCACTGAAAACTAAAAGCCGGGATGCTATCGGAGGTGGATGGCTCGACTGCACGCGCCTCGGCAAGGCCGTTTGGACGCATCAAGTCGCCCATGCCGTTGCTGCGAGCGCCGGTGGTTGTTCGGCGCGAGTTTTGGGGGTCACGTGGAGCGGGGGCTCCTGAGAGGCGGGGGCGGGGCACGGGCGTCCATGGCGCCGCGGCAGCTCCTGACCCTCGCGGCGGGCATATTTGTGGGCCGACCCGTCGTGCGGATGCATGATCGTTCACTGTTCGACCGCTTGCCGCCCGCCGTTGGCGCGTTTGACCGCTTGCGCGGATGCATGCACGTTGACTTTTTGCTCGTTGACTTGAGCGCGGACGCACGTGCGCTGACCGGTTGGCCGCCTGCTGACCCACCTGACCCGTTGACCCCGTTGACCTCGTGGTTCAGGCCAGGGGCGGCCACGGGGTGGGCGGGGGGGTCCGGAGCTGTCAGCCGTGGTGGGACCTGTGGGGAAGGGGTCGGCCCCTTGGGTGAGGTCATCCGTTCGTGACTCACGCGGCAGCCTGCGCGTTTCTGGCGCCGCCAGTACTTTGTGGTGTACTCGCGGCCTGCCTGTGTATTTACTGGTGCGGCCGGTGTGCTTAGTGGTACTTAGCGGTGTACTTTGGGCTGTCCGCAATGCGCCTGAAGCGTCGTACTGACCGCCAGTTGCGTGGTACTGTGTTGTAGTAATGCTCTTTTGTCTCCACCCGGTGCAGCAGTAATGTTGATATTGTAGGAGTGGCTCGAACACCAAACTCGGGCTGCAGCACATTGCACGCAAACTGCTTGCTGCATGAAAACCAGACTGGTGAATATTGCCCTGCCGGGGCATCCTGATGGCACGCACACCGTCCAAGAGTCTGCGGTCTGGCGGTGGCGTGCCCCTCTTTTTCTGGCATGGGAGGAGCAACATCGATTTGGGGAGACGCTGGTGTGACTATTCGCCATTCACATGGCGGCGGTGGTTTGGGTGCACCCTGGTGATGTTCGGTGGTGCCAAGCGCGAATGAAGTGGGACGGTCGTGCTTTTGGGCAAGGGCGAGGTGGTGAGCCTTTCAGGGAGTGAATTGTTGGCATGGGCGGTTGACGACAGCCGATAAGTCTTTCAGTCGAATGGGATGTTGAGGCAACGCATCGCAGCAAAACGAGTCATCGAATTCACACGGCCGCAAAGGGCGGATTGTCTCTAATGCTGATTGTGGCGTTGATACGCTGTGCGCACAGTCCACGCTCGGTGGCTCCCAGGAAGGGGAAGCGAGGCCACAAAATAGATGCGTTATGGGACGAGCGTACCAGCCAAATAACAGTCATTGCAAGAATGTTCACTTCCCGTCTCCATTGTGCCCAAATACATTCACCGGAACACCATGTTCGCCATATTTACTTCTCGCCATGAAAACGCCACACACTACATAATTGTTTATCGACCTCTCCCTCGCCCTCACACTGAATATGACGATTAACGCAGTGTGCCCCGAGCTGCGCCGTAGTTTGCTGTGGTCAGCATCTTGGACGTTTTCTCAAGGGAAGGAGAAGGAATGTGACCCCGAAAGGGTTTCTGCTTGTTTCCCAGCCTCGAAATCAGAGCCGTATGCTTGGCAGTCCCAATTGCTTCAAACCCAGCATTGTCCCATCCCATCATCGGGACGGGCAGCTGTGCCGGTTTAAAAACTCCACGGATGGCATCACTCATGCTCATGACGAGCAAGGTTCTCGCACCACCCTGTCTTCTGCGGGCGCAGCACCATCCGGCCAGCGTTTGTTGGGCCTGCGATTGCGGCTGTGTCTTATTGGGCGGGTGGGTGGGTGGGTGGGATGAACCCCCGTGTTGTTATCTGATCCAAATGCGTCAAGGGCGCAAGACGTCGCGTGTCTGCGTTTGTGTGACGTCGCATGTGCCTGCGATGTGGCACGTGCGTGCGTGACGTGTGTGGTGTTGTATATGACGAATTCATGTGGGAGTGGTTCGCTTTTTGGGCACCTGCACGATAACTCTGCACTGATGTGCTCGTCCTTTTGGTGAAGACGATGATCTGGTTCGGGCGGCGGCGCGGCTTCGGTTCTGGGTTGAGGTACCTCAGCAGAAAGGACACCGGCCTGTCAAAAAGATGGGCTGCGGCGCGCTGGTCTGCGCTTGCCTCATACGTACACAATGTACCCGTCAGCAGAAAGGACACCAGGCGGTCAAAAAGATGGGCTACAACACGCGGTCCGCACGCTCGCCCCACACATTGTCCTATGTACTCGCCCACACATTGTATCGCCCTGCATCCTCGCCTTCAGTGGCTGCTTTCGCGCGTTCCGAAGGCGCATTTGGCGCGAGGCACAGCTTGTTGCTCGCGTCGCCCAGCCCGTTCCCAGTCGTGGGTCAGCTCGACGGTCAACGGTCAACGCCACCGGCAGGTCAACGCGGAGCATGCACGCCGCCGTACGTCCCTTTTTGTCGATTCCCGAGCGGCCGGTCGGCGCTTCGACGGCGGGGAACGTCCCGCCGATCTCTTTAGTAAAGTCTGGGGGGCGATCGAACCAATATTCGCGATGAAAGCGGCGGAGAAAAGTTGTATGCGTAGGGGAGGGGTGTGTGTCGCGGCCAACGCCTTCCCGCACGTTGATGTGGAGGGTGGTGCGCGAGAGGCGCTGATGCGCCTATGCTTTTCTTCGTGCTGTTCGGCCGTCGGTTGTTCGTATGCCGTATCGCAGACGCGGCCGTCGACGGCTGCAGGGTGCAGGGGCCCGCTCCGTCTGGCGGGGGCGGAAGCAACGCCAGGATTTGGCCAGCAGTGGGCCACGCTCGCTTGCCCGATGTTCACTCGTGTTGTGCGTAGCCGCCAATTGCTTAAGCTCCTTGGTTGCGGCACGGGTGGCACCCTGTTTTGCCGAGCGAGCTTGTGCTCGCAGAGACTCGCCTTATTCCGTGCTTCCTTCGCTGGTCTGTTGGCTTCACCGTTTTGTGGCTTGCCGGGCGTGCTGCGGCGTTCACGCGGTCCAGCCCATCTTGCACCGCACGACAAGCTGTGCACACTCCAGCCGAGCTTGCACCAAGCGAAAGCATCCCCCCCTACCTCCTCCTTCCTCTGGAACGCTGCGCTAGACGAACGCCATGCCTTCCCCAGCTCCGGACTGACAGCCTTGCCATCGCGTTCCACCTCAGTGACTTGAGCGTCCCGCTCCGCCGCGCGGGAACATGAACTCGCCGATTTCCCGCTCAGGAGGTCCGCCGCACAACCACCCGACATGCCCGTTGTCCGTTCAAACAGAAATGCACGATCACACGACCTGTCGTTGACCTCGCCGTGCCCCCCACCCCACCCCCACCCACCCATCCACCCGGCGGACATGTTTTCTTGCCCTTTGTGTTGCTTGCGTCGTGCGCTCATCATCGCGCATCGGAGACTCTATATCATCTGTTCACAGCACGGAAAAGAGTACAGCGCGCGCTTGCTCAGGAGCGGGTGCCCTTTGTATGACCCGTTGCTTTCTCTGTTTGTATGAACAAACATGAACCTTGCAGGCAACGTGAAAATTGGGCACGCTGGTCGTGTCACTTGTCTCCGCTGAACTCAGGTAGTCAAACGGCGTCCCTGTGCTGGCGGTGTGCAACAATTTCCCCTTTGCAACAAATCTCACCCTCGAGACATGCCCTCCCACCTACCTTTGCGCTGACTTGCTTTGCTTTCCCCCCCAGGGCCCCGCCAAGTCCCAATAGAGCGTCCCCCCAAGCCGTAGATAATGCTGCGCAAGGTCAAGAGCAGCGAGGGCTCCCTGTCGGGCCTTGCCTTCGGCTCCAACTGGGTGCCCGCCTTCGGCAAACTGCGCAAGAGCGCCTCCAGCGGCACGAGCCTCAACAGGCGAGCGGAGCCGGACGATGACATCTGGGGCCAGGCGGAAGCGGAGCTCACCCTGGAGCCCAACCTTTGCCCCAAGGCCCTGCCGTTCGAGCAGCCGCCGACCTCGCCCCGCGTGCTGCTGCACTCCGGCGGCAGCGCCCGGCGCGGCAACGAAGTCAGGGCCGTGTACACACTCATAGGTGAGTGGGCTGCGGTGGGTTTCCCTGTTTTCCGTTGATTCCTTGGTTTTGTTCTTGAATACCTTTGATTCCAAAAACATAACGTGGTGGGCAGTGCTTTTTTTTTTTTTGATTCCAACATGTGGGGGGTCTTTCCATTGATTCCAAAGAATATGGTGCGGAGGGCGCGTCAAGGCGGTGTAGACACTGATGGGTGGGCGGGGGTTCCTTTTTGTCCTTTGATCCTTTTTTTTGATATCCTTGATTCCAAAACTTTTTTTTTGGGGGGGGGGCGTTTATTTTTTGGATTGCAAAATATTGTGGTTGTAATCTTTTTTTCCTTTTTTAATTCCAATCGATTCCAAAATATTGTGGGGGTCGATCGACTGAAGGCGCCCTTGTACCCTTCACCACGTCTTTCACTGCGTCGGCCTTACGTTGTAACCCTTCAACTCGGCTTGAGGACTGACGGCATTGTACCGCCCCAGCGCCTGCGCCCGTTGTTTTGGCCCCAGCCTCGCCCGAGGCCGGTGCTGCGGGCGGTGCCGCCAACCTCCCGCGCGCCGCGGCTCCGGCCCCAGAGTCGCGATTCCAAAGCTCTTGCGGCTTCTTCGATCGCTGGCGGCAGGTGCGGAGGCCGGCGCCGCACACAGGGCGCTCCCTAATGCCGCAGGGCGGCCCTTGTTGCCCATATAGCGCCGCCGAGATGTTGTCTCCCTTTGTTTTGTTCCGCTTTGCTTTCTTAGGCGCGATTGTCGCCCTGGGGTGGCTTGCCGATCGTCGGCTGGGAAGTCGCGGAGGCCGGCGCCGCTGTCGTGGCTCACCCGCATGCCGCTGGGTGGGCCACACCGCCTTCCGGAGTGGTTTGCATTCTTTCCTTTTCTTTGTTCGGATGTGTTGTGTTTCTTGGTCGGCTCGGTTGCTGAGCCCTGATTCTTACCCTCGGATGGGTTGCCGATTGCCGGTCGCAGGCTTGTGGGGCAGCCGAACAGACAGGGTGTCCCCCAAGGCCGCGTGGCCGTCCGGGGCCGCCCGCATCGCCGAGCCTATTCATCTTTCTTTGTTTCCATTCGCCTTGGTATGGTTCGGCTTCCGAGCCCCGATGCTTACCCTCGTGTGGGCTGCTGGCGCCAGGCGCGGAGGGCGGCAGCACAGACAGGGTGCCCCCCAAGGCCGCGGGCACGTCCGGGGAGTCCCACCTCGCCGCGGCGCGGTCGCGCCAGCCCCTGGATTCGATCCTCGAGTCCCCCTCCCCGCGCCTGAGCGAGGCCTGCCGGTGCGACATCATGCGCTCGGCGCCGGAGCTCACGCCCAAGGCCCTGTGCGAGGCGCTGGCGATCAACATGCCGACCAGGGACGGCGACAGGCGGGCCCCCGCCGGCGGTGGAATGCGCAATCCCCGGAATGTTGACCCACCGCCGCCGACGAACCGCACCAAGATAAACCTCGAGATGCGCGAGATGCCGCGGTCGCTGCGGAAGGCGCTGATGATGTCGGAGCCCGTGTCGGACCACTTTTCGGACGCAACGGCGGAGGACTGGACGGTGAGCGAGGAGGGGGAGGGGGACTGGGGCCTGTGCGCCGTGGGTTCAGTCTCCGGCGCCTCGACCTCCGAGAGCTCGGAAGCTCCCCAGAAGGGGGAGCTCCAGACGGTGCTGGTGCACGCCGATGTGGGTCAGCACGGCCGGGACGTGGGCCAGTACTCGGGGGAGCTGGGCGACGGGGACAGCTTGGCTGGAATGTCAATGTCCAGGGACGCGGACAGGCCCTTTCCCGAGGACGACCTGTCCTCCGAGTTCGCCTTCCCGCAGACCTTCGCCTTCCTGCAGAGCTTCGCGGCAGCGTACACCACTGGCATGTCCCAGGCAGGAGGCCAGGCCAATGGGGTTGTGGATTCCTCCCCCTTTTATGGCCTCGATGGCGCTGGCCAGGCCAACCAAGCAATGGATTCAACACCGTTTTACGGCCACAATGGAGCTGAGGCTGGCCAGGCCGGCCGAGCGATGGACGCTGCGCCTTTTTATGGGTCCAGTGATGCTGGCCAGGCTAGCCGGGTGACGGATCCATCGCCTGTGTATGGCTGGGCAGAAAACGGTGGAGGAATCGGGGAGCTCAAAGCTGCCCATGCGGCCAAGGAGGAGCACTTCGATTCCCAGGGGATCCATGGACCAGCTGAAGAAGGGGTCCGCGAAGATGGGTTCCCTGTGGTGGCCCGGAGCAACGGCGGGGATGGCCGCTATGGGTCCGAGGGCGAGGAGGGCGAATACGATGAGGACGGGGAGTTGTTGTTCGAGCTGGTGGGGGTCCAGGACGATGACGAGCTTGACGTGCAGGACGTGTTCTTGCCTGAGGCGGATGACGTGACGTACGCCGAGGAGGGCCAGGGCCACCTGGACGCATGCCAGAGACCCCAGGTGAGGGCTGACCCATGGACTGACCCATGAACTGAACCATGGATTGACCCACGGGCGGACCTGTTGTGTGCCAGGAGTGTCCGAATGATGGTTGAGTGTGGCAGCAGTGCGAGGGACAGTGTACCAATCGGGGTATGTGTCTGTTGAGTCTGGGTAATCGCAGACACGTGTTTGTGCAGTGTTGGCACATAGCTTAGCACTCCCCATCACTGGAATCCGTTTCATGACGTCGTTCCGAAGAGATAGAGCAGAGGCCTTACACCTCGTGGTGGACAGGCGTGAATCCACACACGGTGTTTTTGTTTGGAATCATTTGTTCATGTTCCTGTGACCTCTCGATCCTGGAATCCTTGGATGGGAATGAGCACTGCGGCTTGAGCATCAGGCAAGGAGCCTTGCACGATGCAGAAGGCTCAGGTGCAGTGGGATGCCAAGGTGCCCATGAGGGTCACAAGCAACAACGAAAGCCTGCGTTAATGCTCCAGACTATTGACTGCTGACCATGCTGTTTTTGTTGATAGTGAAAATGCAGTTTTATTGGGAGTGCAGGTATAGAAACTGTAGAAAAGTCTACAATTTTCAGCCGAAAGACAGTTGAGCATGCTCTCACAGTTGTGCTGCTTGTTGCAGGTGTTCCCACCTGAGGAAGAAGACTATGAGCTGTCCTCCGAAGAGGAACGACTGGACAACTGTCCGACGATGATGCGGGGTCCAAGAGAAGGGAGGGTGCAGACTGGAGGCGACGATGAATTTAACTACCATTCAAAACCACTTAAGGGGGAGGTGTATGAGAGCGACAGGTGCTGATTCTTGCATGCCGCCTGGTTGAAGTTTTAGCCAGAAGTACTAGACAAATGTGCGTGTATCATGCAGAGGCACATACGTACATCACTTTTATGCACATGCTTGACGGATAGTTCCCACTCTTGCCTGATGAGCGTGTGCCTGGCAAAGCAAATGATCTGCTCAGCAGCAGAACGGGCCCAGCATTCCTGCGAATTTGTCCAAACGATTCTCCGGAACAAAGAGCGTATTCATCTGCAGTTTCTATCTAGGGGGGTTATCAATTGGTGCTGCTCTGCACAGGTGTCGTGGCAGCTTTGACAGTGATGATGGCCCTGTGGTGGACACTGCATTTGATTCAGCGCGCCCGGCATGGCGCAAAATGGGGAGGAAGCGGGTTGGTCACTCCAGGGATAATAATGGAAACGGATGCATGTATGACACAGCGCACACGATTGCGGAGAGCGACAGCAGCAATGGGCCGCAGCAAGCAGCATGGATGTGGGAGAGCAGAAGCAACGAGTTTGTTGAAACGCTGCCATCAAGGTAGGTTGCCTTGTTGCCCCCTTTTCCTCTCCTTGGCCTTCTGTTTGGTGTTCTTCCTGGGGCAGGTGGGGCAGGCTTGTGGGCAGTATTAACAGACTGGTTGGCGCTCGCATCCTGTGAGTTTTTGCCTTTTTGGCATGTTTGTGCGCCCTAAAGACAGCACAAGATGTACAGAAAGAAGTACTTCGAAATCAAATTCAAACATTGTTGAATGAAAAACCCAGAAACATGAGAGGCAGGAGAACGGACAGAGCCTGACCGCGCATCGCCTCCTGTGCAGATGTACGCCAAGTCCCACCACCGTGTATGAAAGGCATGTGCCGATGACATCGTCAGCTGACATCTGGCTGGAGGCGGCATCGCAGTACTATTCCACCGAAAGGTACAATGGCACGGGCAAGGTCAAGTGCTTCGACCCGTCTGCCATGATCGGGGCCATCATCAGGAGGCTGACTGGAAGGTGCAGCAGCCGGAGGGAAGCAAACTCGCCTGAACCCAGCAGCATGCCTCGGCTGGATCTCACCACAACCGGAGGCTCCAGCAGCGAAGGTGCGCGCTTGTGCCACGATGTTACTTGCACATCAATCATTCAATCAATCATCCTTAAAATGACGCATCAACAACAAATGTCACAGAACTCAGGTTCAAAAGCATAATGTGCATCTCAGGCAATGTTTGTCTCAAGTTAGGCACCCCACATACCCAAAGAAGAGACCCACCACAGAGAATGAATGTGGTGGTACTTGCATGTGGGTTTGTGTGCATCTTGCATTTCAGTATGCCACTGGCAGGAGTTGATCAGGGCACTCACATAAAGATAGTATGCAGAATGACAGGTGATGCAACAAATCGTAAAGAATGATAAGAATGCATGGAGAATGATCTGTTGGGTTTGGCACAACATTGCCAAGCAGGGACCTCAGTGGGTGCCAGTGCGCGGACTCATCCACTGCTAGGAAATGGCCCCCGAAGATGACACTGTGGAGATTGCATGTTTTGATCCCTTGGAATTGCACTGTGTTGTACTGTATTGTGCTGTGCTGTACTGTGCTGTACTGTGCTGTACTGTGCTGTACTGTGCTGTACTGTGCTGTACTGTGCTGTGCTGTGCTGTACTGTACTGTGCTGTACTGTACTGTGCTGTACTGTACTGTGCTGTACTGTGCTGTGCTGTACTGTACTGTACTGTGCTGTGCTGTACTGTACTGTACTCCACTGTCGACTTGTTCCAGAACAGTGCATCACATTGCAGGGCTGAAGTGCCACACCAGTCCCTGCAGAGGATATGCGGGCCCTGTCGCAACTGACAAGACAGTGCAATGGGCGGAAAGGCCCAAAGGCTCTGAGTCCTTAAATGCGCGGTCTGAAATGTGCCCTTGCTGCACCGCACTTTGTTGCACTGCACGATCATCTGCTGTATTCCACGGCATCCTTCCACCAAATCTGGCGTTGTTCAGTCGTTTCTTGGACGCTTTTCTTGCCACGTGTGGGCATTTTTCGGGGCACTGCACAATAGTTTGTTGTATTTCCTGGCATCCATTCCAGTAAACCGGGCATTATTCAGTCGCTTCTTGGCCAAGAGTGGGCGCGTTTTCGGCCACTGCGCAATAGTTTGTTGTACTGCACGGCATGCTTTCCAGCAAAATTACCGAGTCGTTTCTCCGGCGCATTTCTCGCCGGAAGTGGGCAGCTTCTCCTGTGTTTAGTTTGGACTTGTCCCACTGCTGCGAACGCAGGCGACGCGACCCGCAGGTCCACGCACAGGTACGCGAAGCGTCAGTCGACGATGCTGCAGGTCGTAGAGGAGCGCCTGGAGGACTCCGACCTCCGCGATCGGCCATCCCGGAGGACCTTCAGCGACGCGCACGACCGGTCCTACCGCCGGCCCGCGGTGCGCCAGGCCGCGCAGCCGGCCACAGCCAGGTCTGTGAATAAATCCGGAGCCTTTCACGGCGACGCGAGGTTTGCCAACAGGCACGCCTACAAGGACAGGAGCCACGGGTGCGGCTTCAGCTCCCCAGGCGGGTCGGGGTCGGAGATTCAGAGCTGCCCGGACATTGGCGACAATTGCGACGTGCCCAGGCACGAGTCGATCTGGCGCAGCGGGGGGATTCGTGCGTATCAGCAGCCGCGGGCGCCGGCGGAACGAGACGCAGGACGATGGTTTTGAAGGCCTCAACGTGGCGGCAAAGGGGCCGCCCCGTGGGTTGTGCGCGTGCCAGGAGCGCTGCCCCTGCGGCCGTTGGCGTGAATGAGTACGTAGGGAGGCCGAAATCTCGGCTGCAGATTTGCTGAGGGTCGCCGCGGCGGGCGGGCAGGTGCCGGGGGGGTGGGCGGCTGGCGGCTTTTGGTGCGGCTTTTGTGTCTTTGTGGGAGTGGGATGTGCGGATGGGATGCAGGATGTGCGGATGGCGGAAGTAGCGCCCGTGTAACCTTGCAGGCGACATTGGGCGGTGTCGCAAGGATGTTGCTTCCCGAAGGCCGGGAAGCGTGCCTGAGGTTTCAAGAAGGCGCAGCGACGCGGCCGGTGGCGCTGCGTCGGAGGAGGCAGGGAAATGCGGCGGGCGGTGCGGCGAGGCGTTGCGCTCGACGCACATTGGCGTTCGCGGAGTGTTTTTCGTTGGTGCGAGATTCATTCCCAGATGGTCAGTTTGACCGTTGATGGGGGTCAGAGCACGCCCTCCGCTGGCCCGCCCAATGAGGGAGGCGAGCGCCCCCTGCCGAGAACCGCGAGTCAGGCGCGAATCCGCACGTCCGAATTGCGCACGCGCGCGGCCAACGACCTAACAATCATGTACTCTGAACGGAATAGGGGACAGGTTTTGTGGGAGCGGCGGGCCGGGGATGTTTCGGCCCTTAGTCACGCGAGTGTGTGTGTACGGGCCGCCTTATTGTTGTAGGGGGGTTTCTTTGTTTGGCGAGCAAGAAAATTGTTTGTGTCTCGAGTGGGCTGAGGAACGAGGGCGCCGAAACGGCGAGCCGCGCCCCACTCCCCCTCTCGGCAGGGGGTGGGGGCTGCCTCTGCCCTGGACGCGTCCCCCGCCCGCGTGCAGGGACTTGGGAGGACTAGTTTGCCGAACGGGTTTGATTTTGCACTTGCCAACTGGTCGCATAGGCTCAAGGAGCCGCGCCCAGGGGCCCGGCTGAGCCTCCCGGGCGTCATGCTTTCTGTTGCGGGAAACAGCCATATCCCGGAGTTTGGCATCATGGGGCGAATGGGCAATCGGGCGAGGGGGACTGATTGGGGGCCACCACACACCCAGAGCCGGGCCTGAACGTATAAATTGGCGTTTGTATGTAGACGACCACGGAAGCGAGTTTCAATTGATGGCCGCCCCCGGGCGGGCAGGCCGGGCTAGCGCAGGGGCGACGGACTGCATGACGGGCAATCAAGGACAATTGAGTTCAGCGGAATTGTAAATAGACCTGCCGTTCGCCTCTTTGGCATGTGTGCCTTGGGCTCCTGCCTCCGTCCCCTTGCGCTGCTCTTCTCCATCCAAACATTTTCCCACATGCCTCCTATTGGCTTTCTGCTCGTGCGCATTGTGCATTTGCTACGTTCAGGGTGGAAGCTTTGCGCGGTGCGCTGATCTGATGTGGTCCCGTCTGCTTCCCCCAGAAACCAAGGGCCACCGCAACCGGTCCCCTCGCCCCCTGGCGCAAAGGAGGGACCGGTCTCCCTTGTTTCCGACGGCCTGGTGCTGACCCAAAGTACGGGGTGACAGAAGCCCAAACCTGTGGTCCCGACTGGCCAATTTTGGGAGCCGCCGACTCGAGCTGCCGGCATGGGCGCCCACCCAACGTCGCCCTTTGCGGAAGCCCATCAACCAGCCGGTTAGTTCCATATTGCATGGAATAAATTTAGTTCGATTGTGCCACATGGAATTATTTTAATTCGATTGCGGCATTGATTGCGGCACAGTGTATTGCATTGGGTTGATGGCGCAATGATGCATCCGTGAGGAGGGCACGGAGAAACAAATGCAGGTCTTAGAGAAGGGCAAAGGGCCAAAGGCCGTCGCGCCACACGACATACCCAGGGCATTGTCAGTGTCCACGAGACAGGAATGTGTCATAGCAGTGTCCCAGCCTGCGTCCCTGACCGAAACGGGCTGCACTACTCACACGAGCAAGTTGCTCACAAGTGCACCCACCACAAGTTGTGGTCAGCTGCGAGGACCCTTTGCTGTGCCAGGCCATGGGGTGGGGATCCTGGACCACAATGCAACGAAGCTCAGCATTGCGCCGGCTTCGGACCAGCCCATATCAAGTGGGAAGGCCACAACTACAGCAGCCAGTACCTGTGTGGCAGCGGCACCTGGGAACCAAAGCAATAATGGTCTAACACAGGTTTGGTAAATCTATCTTTGGACAATATTCAGATGCGGCGCCTAGCAATTAACATGCACATGGTTGCACATCTGTGCTGGTGTGTGTCAGGTGGGCTTGTTCTTTGGCTCGTCGGTGGGCGCAGTGATGCGCAATGGTACTGCAGACTGTGGATGTGCAGTCGGCAGTTCATTGAAGTAGAGTGTCTCCCACAGCTGCCAAATGAAAGTCTCCTGGGTTGGGAACAGAGTCAACCAAGTTGGCCATGTCAGACAATGCAAACCACCTGAAGTCGTCAGGACAGTGTTGCCTTATCAAAGGACAGGTGGTGTCACTGACCGCGATACGTCTTGGGGAAGGCACAAGGCAATACTGGGTTAGGTTTATGGCGGCACCCTCACATAATAATGAAAGCAGCCATTGTGCCAGCTGCCACGAAGTGGTAGGGCAGTAGGACAGGCAAACTGCCACCAACAGTGCAGCTGTTTGGAACCCAAGGGTGGTGATGATCGATGGATGTGAGGACACCTTGACCTGTTGAACAGCAAATGGTTGTTGTTGTCACACGGGCTGGATTTTGAATGCAGAAACTTCAAAATTTGAAACAGGCGTGTCCATGTACACACACCGTAAGAGCAAGCAAAAGTGCGCGTTGTTGTACAACAACATGTTCCAAGCTAATTGCATCGTGATTGCTGTCTGAAATCAGTCGGCCAGTGTGTCCATCCCTCAAAAACTGTGTCGTCCTTGCCCGCCACCTCTGCATCGGAACAAATGCCACAAACAGATGCCACAAACATCAGATTACCATGGCTAAAGGCATCCCTACGTGCAACATTGGTATTGGGCTTGTTCAAGCAATCAAAAAAGCCGGTGACTGAGCTCTGCCATGTCCCTCCTTACTGATTTGATCATTGGGCTTGCTTGCTCTTTCACACAATCACAGATCCGTTTGGCAAAAGTGCTGGGCTGCTGTGCAGCATCACGTCCAGCTTGGCTGACTCAGTTCGTCATTCCTTCTCAACGCCAGTTCTGCACACCTCTTATTCTGTCCCTCACAGCCGCTGTCTTGGTGCCTGTTTGTAGCTGTGTGAAACACGATAAATTGTCGTTAGGAAATGAGGACGACATGCACAAAGAAGAACAGCTTTGTATTGATACCTTGATGAGAATGCAATCGCTCCTTTAACGTTTTTCATTGACCCCTTGATGAGAATGCAGTTGCATTTTTATTTTTTTTATTTGGATTAGGGGTTCGGGGAGCGCAATGAGTGCCAGGGAGCTCATTGCTTTCCAGACAGATAGCGTAACACAGATTTTACCACATTGTGGCACTGCATGAAGAAGAAGGTGCATGCACACAGCCCGGGCAAGCACAGTTGCAGAAGGATTTTGCATTTCACAGTGTACCAATTTGCCACCGAATGTTATTGTGATACGCATTGCAAACCCCCCTTTCAATTCCTTCCTTAGTAGCAATAAGCAATTTTATATCAGTGTCGTATACGTATGCAATCATTTTGATCGTGCTTCTACTCACACGAAGGTATGATATTTACAGCCCTCAGACAAATGACTCATGATCCTCTACAGTGCCTTAACAGCCCCAGCACTGCTTGAGGCTCATGCTTGCGTGTAGAAAAGCACTCTCGTGTCCAATTTGTTATGTGCAATTCTTTGCTCACTTATCACATTTGAACAGCTGTATGCTGTAATTGCAGTATGGACAGGTGGTCAATTTACAATATTCGTAAGTACTTGCTTACAGTCAAATTCTCATTGATGGCAGCTGCCCAGAATTAAACAGCAGGCTTGGTCTTTACGTTCACGCTTACGCTTTCACACGTAAAACCATCAAAACACAGAGGGGGGCATTTTGGCGGCTGTATTTGCGTATTTTGACGGCTCGTTGGGACACCCCGGTACATAGTGAAGTCGCATACAATGATCAGTCCTCCGTCCTCTCAAGCACTCGCAATACAGCGTTCACCTCGTCCTCAGCAAGGGCAACGACGTCATTGAACAAAAGATCACCTGCTGCCCACTCCAGGGCGTCTGACGACCAGTCCCAGGAATCCTTTGCACCCCATGGCGATCGAAGAGACAGCCGGTCACTGACTGGCCAGCAGCACAGCCTCCATGCGCACGTGCTGTCATTTACTCGTGTGTTTGCGTATTTTACCGCCTGTTTATACGCAGTGACATAAGCACTGTTTTGCGCGTAAAAAGCAAACACAATTTCCATCTGCATCGTAAACACTAGGAAAAAAAGGGCCAAATAGCACTTTTGCGAACACACATAAAACACATTTCATCGAAGTTCTACACACTAAGAGCACAAAAATAACACAAACCCGTAAACTTTGTACATGTTTGAACACGTGCTATTTTACCCTGGCTTTTAGTGAAACACCAAGCCTGAATGGTATGCTTGGTGTTTTTAGGGCTGCTCTACCCATGGCCATTACTATGTCAATGATTTTGCATGATCCAAGCGCTGCATCATTGTGCTGCGGCCTGCTCCTGAGCCTCAGGATTGCAATTTCCACCAGTGAGCAGCAAAATGAATGTGGTCAACACAACCTGATGTTGCTCAGTTTGGATTGCTTTGGAGATGACAAGGCATGGGTGCTGTGGCCACAGGGTGGATCTCCCACTGAGGAATCTTCAACATCCCCGACACCTCCCAGCTCCCCTGCTGATCCCCCTCGGCTTTCAACCCCATCAGTGTAGGTGATGAGCCATCACGTACACTATCCTCTTATCCCTTTGCCCGACCCAGCTCATCTTGATCGGATCAAGATGGATCAAGTTGATCCACCGCCTTCACCTGCATCTCTA